ATCTGACACAGCAAGTAGAGAGGGGAAAATGCTGAATTGTGCTCTTAGAGGTACCACATAGGAAGGATTTTTTTAAAAATATCTCCTCATCTGCTCTTATTTGTACTTCTCCCTAGCTGCAAACTTCCATGGACGGGGTGGGAGGGAAGAGGAATGAGATCAACTCTGGCATGTGGTTGGCTGTGTTCTGCTGGAACTCCTGAACCACACAATTCATCTTCCTAGTCTCACTCACAGGGTCATTAGAAAGATCAAAAAAAGTCAGAGTTTTCTTCAGCCAAATGAAACATTTGATCCCATACACCTCACTAGGCTCCTTCAGAGCAAGGGCTGTCTCAGGAGTGGATGGAGAGACACAATGGTGGACACAACAGACAGTCTGGAAACTGAGAGATGAGGTGAAATCCCTCAGCTGTTCACATAAAGCATGCAGGCAGTAACGCCACACTGGACCAAATCCGAGCTCCTTGCAGGGGGTGAAGGAACAGGACAGACACCTGGCATATCTCCCCAGCACATGCTCCACCCTCCAGGGATCAGCAGCCTGAAGCTTTCTCAGCCAGAGAGAACTGCTTTCATTTCACAGACCCCCGCTGCATTTTTCTGCCACAAAATGCTCTTTGAACCTCTAAGCTTTTAGCCCCCACAGCATCCTGAGGCAAGCAGATCCCCAGCTCCTGTCTCCTTTTGTTTGCTTTGAGCTTTCCTGCTAATAAAAGAACTATGAAGTCTGAAGCCATATTACAGAGCACCATTGAACGGCTTCTCCTTATTTGCCCTTTTTCAGGCCATTTGATTGTTGAGCTCTCCATCTTACTTTCCAACACTACAACTATTTCAGAGAGATGCAGCCGACTTAGCTCCACTACAGTTTATTCCTGTCCTTTACACCCACACAGAGACTCCCTCACAAAGGGCTAAACCTGTGACATAACCACGGATTTAACCATTCCTGCAGCTGATTTTCAGGAGGACACAGTTTAAACGCCCAAGCTGAGATGCACCCAGGGTACTCACTGCTCCTGCACCGGGCTCCTCGTGGGTCCCCCTGTCCTGCTCAGCCAGAGAACATTCCCGCATCCCCAGCACGAGCCCCTGCCGCAGCACCTCAGCTCGCTGTCAGCTCCAAACTGGAAGCGTCATCTCCAAAATTACTGTTGCGCTGGCTCCTGCCAGACTCTTAATTAGAGGAAGGCTGACACAGTTTCTCAGCAAACGGCGCTCACATACTGCGGGAAAAAACAGAATGAGGGCAAGAGGAAAAATGGGCTAATCAGAGAAAATCAACCGGAGGGAAAAACACATTGCGCTGTGCAGACCTTACCGCAACAATGCTGGAGCACAAAATACTGGGGGGGAAAAATGGGTTAGTACAGAGGAGAGGCAGGCAGCCCTTCTCAAAGGTGGAGGAGAGCTGATTTGCAGTGCAGTGTCTCAGCAACCTCAGCTGGCAGGCCTCTCCCCACAGCCCACTTAGGGCAAAGGGGACACGCTCGCTTTCGAGCATGCAGATCAATGTGTCTGAGAGCCTGAACGATGCTGTCTGTGGAGCCCACGGCTGCCCTGCATGATTTACACTGCCTTTATAAAAGCCTGCAGTGTGAATAAAGCACGATACTGAATGCCTTGCCTCCCTCTCCCCACCACTGCCCCTGGCAGCTTGAAGGGATTGTTTTTATTCCAGCTGCGGCCTGGCAGTCAGTCTGGAGAAGAAAGGGACCCTCTGCTCCTGCATCTGCCCCGAGAGCCAGGAGTTTCATCAAGCCTCGGGAGAAGAGAGCCTGAAAGGCAGAGGCCAAGCCCCAGAGCCTGCGTGCCGAGCCCCAGCTTCCAGCGCTCGCTGCTCGGGTGAAGAACTCACCCGTAGCACAAAAGCAGCACAAATCCATTTACCCTTTCTGCTTTTCTCTGCGAGAGGGAAGGAGCATCGCTCGTCCGGCTCCAGGCAGCTTCAGCCACAAATGCAAACCCAAAGCGAAGCGCTAGGACAAGGGTGTGTGAAAATGGCCCCTTTATCCACCCCTACACACCATACGGGCCAAACCTGCCTTGAAAAGCTTTAGGTTTCCCCCGAGGCTGATGGCAAAGGCGCTTTGATGACAATGAAGGGAACAATTCCAGTGGAGTTTCCATCCCCTCCCCTGTGACCTCCCTACAGGGAACTGGGAGGTGGCAGGAAAGCCGAAGGAGGTGAAACATTAGCAGCAGCTGACCACGCAGAGAAAAGGAAGGCATTCAAAAAAGTACACGGTAGCCGAATGCCACTTAAAAGCAGCCTGAAAGTATAGCACTGGCTTTCTCCAAACAGATCAAAATATCAAGATGGGAAGACGCGAATGTTTCTCTTCTCTCACCACCAAGCCTTGCTTTTGATAACAGATAAAATACTCCCTTTCAAATTCCTGGTTGCAAAGGCGAGAAAGTGCTGGCTGAAAAAAGCATCAGTCAGGCAAAGCTAAAAGCCTCTCTGCAAAGAGAAGCCCTTCGAGGAATTTACTTTTCCTAGCATCCTTCCCACCAGCAGCCCACGCCATTCCCCAGCACTGAAAGCCCTTTTCAACACGTGATAAGGGGCCCTGCCAGTAAAGCTGACAAAATATCCACAAGGCAAAACATGAAGGTAGTTCACAGCCTGGGGGGAAACGGCAATTAAAGGAATTCTGATAAATTAAACCACAAGAAATAAGCTAAATCCATCAATGATTGTCTGGCCTCTCCAGGCATCTCCTTTGGAGCTCCACAGCAGCTGCTTAGGCTCCTACAATCTCATCAAACCTCTTCCCTGCTCAAAGTCAGCCAGTCCCAAGAGCCTTCTTTTCTCTCTTTCTAGATGCAGAAAGAAGAACTAATGTGCCAGTGGAAACAGCTGCCCCTCAAAAAGCTCACCAACCCAAGGAACAAGACCCCTGAAAAATTAGGAGGGTCATCTCCAGCAGAAACCTCTCTGATTTGCCCTTCTCAGTCAAACAAAAAAAATCACACAACCACCACAAACCAGTGGAAGATGAACCAACAAACAAACACAACCCCCAAGCCAGGGATACTGTGCTATACATGCAGTTCTCCTGGGAAAGAAAATAAACAGAAGACCAGCATTAGTAGTGTAGCTCCAGCATTCCTGCTAGTGACAGGATGAGCAGAGGAACCCAGCTACCTGGAAGTACTTGCTTCAATCTCCACAACACCCCCCAGGCACCCAGGACTGGTGCTGGACAGTGCTGAGGGAAACAGCACTTTCTGTGCTCAGAAAACCAGCACTGCACCATCCATCCCTCAGAGTATTAAAAGTCTTTCCACACTGAAATCCTACCTCTCAAATGCCTTTGCAGCAATCTAACTAGATGCTCCACAATAATAACAGCACACTTCAGGTGTTCCAGTCACCTGCTTTTCCCAAAGACAGTCTCAACTAAATCATCAGCTTTGGGGATTCTGAGAGTTCCTGCAGCCTCTGCATCAATGAAGTGTCCTACTGACCTTGAGCCAGACCTACCTGCAAGTCATTAATCATTTCTGAAATCCCCATCCGCCACCAAATTCCACAACAGGAACAGTGAGAACACGAGATGCACAAATTGTTTCACTGTCAGGTTTCTTCAGCTTTAAAACCAGAAATGTTTGGGTTATTTTAAGCCACAGAGAGAATTAAGCCATATCAGAAAATAATAATTTTAAAAAAATTTAAAAAATAAAAAGCAAGGAGCTACAAACATATTTTATAACCAGACTTTAATTTTTTTCTGTTATTACTGCAATAAAGTGCGCCTACGTCCACATGATATGTGATAATCAGGCTCTTAATATAGCCAACACAGTATCAAAAGATAGACCTCAGTGCAAAATGCTTCTCTGAAGACATCCAAAGCAGTTAAGACCTTCAGTGTGCAAACAACATATTCTAATGCATATAAGTCCTGGCTGAGGGACAGCAAATGAGTTGGCAAAACACAAGGGCAGCAGGTTTGCTATTTCACTGCCTGAATCCCCTTGTAAAGACCCTGTACTGATGCTTGGGAATCGTCTCTAAAGATTCAGATGAGCACCAACTTAACCTATGTCTAGGACTTCAGCAATTCCTCCTCAGCTACAAAACAGATGGAAGAGAAGTCCAGATCAAGCATGAGTGGGGGAAAGAGGGAAAGTATTAGAACAGACATTAAGCATGAAAGCACAGGATTGGCTAAGAGAATGATTTCAAGAGTGTCTGCATCTATAGTGAGCTAATCGTCAGAATTTGTGACATGTGCCATAAAAATAAAATAGAACCTGCAAGTCCTTTTTTTTTTGTTGTGAAACAGAGCCCATTTTGTCCAGGGACATTTAACTAGAAAGGAGTGTCTGGTTTTATTTTTCCATTGTTCTGTTAAATGAAAGTAAATATCAAAGTGGTTATTTTGTGTGGAAAAACCCTCAGCAGTTTCAACATGCTTTGAACTGCAGTACAAAAGCTGTTCATCTAAACCCCTCCCCTTCTTCAAAATATACAGGCCAGCAATGTCAACTTTACACAGTAAGAAAATATACACATTAAATACAGTAAACATTCTTCATTTTTTTACCTTTATACAATATTAGTGAAAAAAATAAAAACATTAATAAAATTACATACAATATATTCAACAGAGTAAGCAACTGTTACGAGAGGGCAGATAAGCTATCAAAGCAAAAGATGGCACTGACATAACAATGTAACACTCGAAAAGAAAGAAAAAAACATTTAGTATGAATTTGCAAATCTAATAGATTTCATCTAAGATGTGTCCATTCTATAGCAGTTCCTTTATATGTAATACACATAATTAAATTTGAAGGTTGTGTGGTTGGCAGGTTTTTTAAGCCTTATTTTACATTCTTATCCGAGAATTTATCATACAAGACAGGGTAATCTACAAGAATTGAAACAAAACAGTATTATAAAACACACACATTGATGTTATTAAAAATCTCTATTATGGGAATCCCCATTAGTGCTGCTACCCAATACCTGAACATTTTCTTCCTATATATATATATACCCATCCTACAGACAAACCACAGTGTAAGATTTAAGTGATAGTATTTGTACAGAGAGCACAAAAGGAGATCACACCTTCCTCTGATTATTTCATAAACAGCTCCTGGACCTTTGAGCACATATTGTATGTGCAGCAGGACTTCACACCAAGGAATTCAGTCATCATATGGCTTTCACAGTCTTCACAAAGGTGAGCCAAATGCTGTTCTCTAATCTCCACTGAGATGATATTTTATTCTCCATTTCAAGAAGGTGCAACTGCTGTATTTTGTGTTTTTAAGAGACACTGGATGTTCATACCAATTCTGCTTTGCAGATTACCATGATTCAGCCCACATCTGAACCACTTCCTCACCTGCTCACAACAGGGGAGGTCTAACACTCCTTCTGAACTCGCATTTCATGTCACAGGCCAGTTCTTCCCCAGCCAACCTAAAACAATGCTTGCAATGCGCTGACAAGGAAATAAATACACATTGTTTTAAAATATGTCTTGTGATTAAAAAGGGAAACAAGAAAACTTCCCTCAGCTTTCAGTATGGCAAAATATTTCTAGCCAGTTCTGATAGGGCTATAGGAATGGCTGGGTTTTTTCAGTTTATCCACATCAATTTTTCAGAAGTAGAGCACTTGTAGTAAAAAACAATGTTAGTCAAATCAGATTCTCATGTGTCTAGTGCTTGTCTGAATCAAGCTCAAGTTCTAACTCAGCTGACTGATTTCTTCTGTTCCAAACAAGGTGAAGCTCCATTCATTCTACATCCTCCTTGATTTCAATTTCTGTTATTTTCACTTAATTAGGCAAGTTTTCACGAATCTGGCTCCCAGAAGTCATGCAGTTTTCCCTAAAGAGTAAAAACAAATTAGTATACAAAGTCAGAAATCCAGTGTCAGAAGAAATGAGTAGAGTAGGCAAGTGCTTAGCTTGGGAGCACCACAATGTGCTAAAAAAGTCCCTGGAATTTTATTCTGAAATACTTGCCAGTTTCCCATATGTGAATCAACCCCAAAAATCTCTGAAAAAACAACATCGAAAGAGCCACCTCATCATCAACTTTCATTAATTGCTAAGTAGAGTCTGCAGCCATGTGTTACATGTGTCACTCCTTGCTCTAGAACATGGAATATCACACACACTACACATAACTTTTTTTTTTTTTTTCCATTGTTGGGAGCAATTAATAGTCTTTCCAAATGGTCAGTTACACAGTTTTTAACTGCAATCCACACTAGGCACATATGTATAATTTAAATTTTAGGTAAAAGATACTCTGCATTACTGGAAAGCTAAGCTTTTCCAAGAGAGATAGCTTTATGTTCCAAGACAAGACTCAAACAGTCGGCCTGATCACATTACAACATAAGCCTTACAAGCCAAAGCTGGAAAAAAGAGCTCTGAACTTTGAGTGTCAATAGAAATTATCCACCTATTCTACCAAGGCCAGCTAGGTGTCACAAAGGCAAATATTTCTGAGACTTAACAAGGCATTATTCATTACTTTTACAAACCTGAGAGTCTTTGACTAATCATGGCATGAAATTTGACACATTAAAAGAGGGAAGAGTTGTTGAGAGTCCTTAAACATATGTGAATAAAGCCCTGGATTCAAGAAGTCTCAAAGCCACACAGTGCCAGACCACAGCAGGATGTGCCTCACTGCATTCCTGCCCTGATGTCCTTTTGGAAGCATCTCCTAATAGCTGTAATCAGAGACAGGCCCTGTGACTTGACTCAGGACTGGGATTTCAGTGTATTACACACACCTTTACAAAACCAGTGCTTTTAACAATGGAGAGGAGATCCTGCTTCTATTGAAGCCAGCAAAGTAAGAATTGTAATTAAAATCCATTCTAATGCATCTAAGTGTATTCCACAGCCATGCCATTTACGTTGAAAAAGAAAATCTCTTGAAAAGAATATGCCACTTTCAAGTGCTAAAAAATGAGTTAAATGCACTCCACAATGTGGGAAGAGAGAAAATGGTTTCAGAAAACAGTACCTGAGTAAGCCGAGTGGTTTGTATCACATCCTGCCATTTCCCATATATCCTAGCAGCCAAGCCTTTCACCTGCAAATTCACACTGATTAATTTAGCCATTTATGTTAAAGACAAAATCATACCCATGTTCCCCCTCACAGCTTCGAACTCCAAAAACCCCCAGATAACCCAAGATACAAGGTTTACTGGAAAGTAACAATTTTATTGTCACAAAGCATCATCACCTCAACTTCAGATCCCTGTAACTCCTGACTCTGAATTTAAAGTCATGCACTCCACAAACACATTAGAGGCACATGACTCCTGAGGTTAAATATTTAGAATCATCAGGCAAACCTCTGGCCTCCAAACACCTCATCCCTGGGAAATGAGGTTTGTCACGCAAGTCTGATTGTACATAGAACAGGTGCAACTGTGGCCACAAAAGCAGCTTCTGAAACAAATTCCTTGTATTCCTTGTACAGAAAACTATGCTTTTCATAGCCCATCACAAGCAGTTGTTTAATCCAAGCCATTTACACAGATTTGCTTCATGTGCTGTGCTGTGAGTCGCATCCTCTAGAAGTTACTGCCATACACACAAATGAAGCAATGGAGAAAGCCAGAGTAAGATTTTCCCCTCTCAGTGTAAAGGCCAATAGAAATAGAAGTGAAAGCAACCAGAGGTACAACACTCCAAGGCGAGTGTAATTATCTTGTTAAAAGGATCCATGCTCCACTAATCTGTCTAAGTAAGAAAAGAAGAATGTTTTTGAGAGGTAAGGAAACACACAACTGTAAATGTCTGATTTAAAGCCAAAGAAGCCAAGGCTTTTCAAAGTTGGGGCTGGTCACTCATCACTGAGCTGACTTGGTTTGTTACAACAGCATGCAAAGCATGAAGGTCACAAAATTAGGACTATCAGTAGCAAGGCTCACAGGACAAAGCAAACAAAAGGCAGCTGTTCAAGCTTGATGCTATGTCACATACATAATTGGCTTAAATCCAAAGCATCTTTAATCAATTCATTCATTTGAGAAATAAAATGGAGAGTTGTGCAGGACAGGCAACTTTTTCAGTCCTCTGTATCCTGCCCTGCAGGTAGGCCCCGCTCTTACAATTGGAGTCAGCTACCAGTGACTGTCACAAAGAGGAATAGAGCAACTCTGTGGGCCTAAATGTGGAGATGCCTGGCTAAAGCAAAGATCAGTCACATTTTAGAGCTGTTAAGAGTCCTATTGTTAACATATGGAGTATTTTCAGTGATTTAAGAAGGGCATGTATTTATGCCCATGCAAAGTCATGACATTAAAAGACAGAAAAAAAGGAAAAAAAAACCCAAGTCCATGAGGAACTCCTAGAATTCCCAGGGCTGAGATGAGGGAACAACATGCATCACAAACACTAAAATCCACCCCAAAATCAAAACAAAACAGAAAAATCAAGTTTTGCATCTTACCTTAGACCGATAAAACATTCTTGCATCTTCCCTAATATCACCTTTTACGTGCTTATCTAAAGCACGACAAAGCTTCAGTAAGTGTTGCTAAATAAAGACAAAAGTGTACAGCTATTAAATCCTCCATGTCAAAACTACAGGCTTTATACAAACATTATATCAATCTAAAAAATACATGCTTCAGCTTGAATTTTTCCCAGAAATACACAGTTAAAGGAAAAAGAAAGAAAACAAGACCACAAGATCCTCTATCTGTTGCTGGCATGCCCCTGGTAAACCAGGTCTAAGAGTTTTTAAAAGCAACTTCAAAGCATAGCAGAGCTATACAACACAAATTCTGAAGTTCCTACTAACTAATTTGCAAATTCTTTCAGCCCCCAAAATAGCAAAAAAGTGAATTGTCATTCATCTTTTATCAGCAAAAAAAGTTCTGAAGTTACAATAGCTGAAAATAACCTTTTCAGTAATGATGACTCAGGTAATTTCTTTTGTAGGAATTGGCTGAGCAGGTAAAATATATCCAAGGTTTTATGCGCTGATCTTTTATTTTCTCTAAATTTCTGATTACTTTAATAAAGCTGTTTTGTACTTCATGATCTCCCGATAATGACTCCCAAGGTCTTTCACATTCTGTTAGTTTCTTCACAAAATTCCTGTTTTCAGTCTCTCACTGAACAGCTGCCAAGAGGCTCCGCTCTGCAGAACAGGTGAGACATGCTGAAATTCTATTTATAAACATTTGCTGGTGTCCCAAGGCCACCACAATTTATCCCCTTCTAACTGGAAGAGGGGCAGAAATAAAATAGGTAAAATTGATTTTACACAGGTATAGCCTGCACAGTATTCAGCCACACTCCTCTTGCCACTTGATGGCTAACAGGTCAGTGAATAATAAAATCTTTCTTTGTTAAGAAAGTGAGACATTAAAAATAAAGTTGAAAATATAAATTTCTCCATAAATCTAAGTAATATACTGAGACACTTAAGCATCCAAACGTAGCCAAATATTACTGGTTTCTCTCTCTCAAACAATTCCTATGATGGATTTCTTAAAAGCCAAGAGTGATTCCACAGGGCAGAAGGTTTACACAAAAACCTTGCAGCAAGCAACTCCCAGCAAATGATCACAGAAATCTGAACAGAAATATTGAAAGGCTTAGTAGAAAGTATTACTTAGCAGATGTTCACATCACATGGCACAAAGGAGCTACCACTACAGAGAAGAGCTACAGCCCTTGCTTTCACTTGCTGCACTCCAGCATAGGAAACTGAAACGTGCTTGAAAACATTTTACTGGATATTTAAGTGGTTTTCTCCTAGACTGAAAAATCTAAATCCTACTTCCCAAATTGATAGAATAATTTGACTTAGAATTTCTGCATTGAATTTCTGCATTAAGTTTATCTCCAGGTATTTTCTGAGAAAGATTAACACAACAAATGCCTGCTCCTTCACAGCCTTATGTTTGGAGGTAGCTCAGTTCACAAACACAGAATAAAGGTTTCATTTCTCTGCAGTAAACACACAGAAGTTCTTCTACATTTACTTTGCCCAGAACAAAAGTTTCCCCCCGTGCTATTATGCACTGGTTATCTTCCATCATATGATAGCTCTTCCTAAAACAGACTAAATGTGCATGATAAACAATATTTTAAAATTTAAAGGTCTAGCCCCTAAAGTTACTTACCCTTTGACTAGCATTTACAACATCAAGGAAACTGGCTTCATTGACTAGATGAAGGAGGACATAGATTAGGTAGTAGACCTGGAGAGAAATCAAAAGAACTTTAGCAGTCAAAGCACCATTAAAACTCTTCTCATCTAGAAACAGAACTATCTCTGCTTTCTGGAATGAATCCTCCAACAGCCAGGCCAATTAGCAGATATATCAACATATCTGCCTAAATAACTAATTTGAAACAGTATGTTCACATATTAGAAACATTTTAAACCAGTATTATTCCATTTTAAATAACCTAAGCGACCCATAAGAAAATGTGGTTTTAATAATTGAAAATTAGATTCAGCAGTTGGCTTTATTTTCCCATCATCTACCCCAGATCAAAACACTGGCTGAGAGATTCTGTGATAATCACTCAAATAACCAAACCAATGTTCAGTCTTTGGATGGATGGAAATACTAAATCTTCCTAACACTTGTTTGAGAGAAGAGATTAATAAAAGATTCAGAAATCTTTTTCTGAAGCCTGCAGATGAAGGTTTGGCTCAGCACCAAACAGTTTTCACTGATTACATCAGAAGGGAGGGAAGATTGTCCTCTGATTACAGAAGCAGATACTCAAGACTTCCCTCTGACTCAGGAAATCTGACCATTTCCCTGTTTCTAAAACAACCCAACACAGGTTCCTCCACCACATGCTCCTTTCCTTCCTCCATGATTATAAGCAAAATTAATAATATTTTAAAGATGAATACCAAAACAGTGCATTTACAGTTCCACATACAAAACTGTTAAAAAGTAAAATAAACATTCCCCAAATAGTGTAAAACATAAAATATTATATATAAAATAAAAAAGATGCATAAAGAAACAAAAGCACTATTGGCTATATACCTCATGTTCTAGCTTTGCATGAACTTCATAATCTTTATGTTCCTCCTGTCCTTTTCTCATCTCTCTCATCTTCTTCAGTAGATAAGAAGGTTTCATACACACCAGAAAGTGATGCAGAAGAAACATCTACAGATACAAGCATTAACAAATTGGACTGATTTACTAACAACAGAAAGTTGGAAATTGAGTGCCACTATAATATAAGTTGTCCATTAAGACAAGTACAGAAAAGGCATTTTTAACTAAAAAAGTTTTCATGCTTTGAGTAATTTTTGACTATTCACAGACTTTAGTGTTTGTACACTTCCTCAATAAAAGATCAAACAGAGTGTCTCCACATGATTACAAAAGGAAGACTCAAAGAAGTACAGACCTCTTTCCAATGTTGAAAATTAATGTCTAGGCATATAAACAAACACAAGCTGCAGAACATGCAGATTACACACATGCAAATACACTTTTAATACTGATCTAAACAGAAAATTATTAATTGGTCATTTGGCAAGGTTCTTGAAAACCAGCTTACAATATTAAAACAAACCACAAGCATAGAATATATGTTTTTTAAACTTCCAGATTCTACAAAGACAACACAAGTAAGCAGTACCTGCTTGTCACTGTCATCAGGTATTTCAACATGCCTTTTATGAAGAAATTTTGCAATTATCACTAGGCTAAGACGTCTTCTTACTTCCCTGAAAAATAATTTTTAAATTATTTCCCTTAGAATTTCTCACAGTTTCTACAAAGTATGTGAGGCTATGCATGTCTTCCCTAGACATAAACTTGCTTGCAACTATTAAACTGGATTTTCTGAATATAGGTGCTATATAAACCAGTAAGTAGGCTAGTAAAACAGAAGTACCTTTAATCTCATTGTAGCTCAGCTTCTGCACAAGTAAACAATGTTAGATACCTGTCTCCAAGCGTGAAGTTATTGACCCAACTAATTCTGCTCACTCACTTACATTATAATTTACTAATTTCAAAGATGTGGAACTCAAAATGACGCTTAGAAGCAGACATGAACCACCCAAATAAAATTTAAATTTTGGTCACTCAGACAAGAATTAGAGTGATGGATGTCAGAACCTAAAGCTAAGCCTTTTTTTGCCACAGGCTACCAAGAATCCACAGCCCAGAAACTACATAAAAGCTTTAACAACCCTTTTTCACAGCAGAAGTGATCAGGAAGCTATACATGCACACCAAGAATTGCACATACATCTGCAACATATGAGAAAATTAATCCTTTTTTTTTTTTTAAAAGTGCCATGTAATAAATATTGCATTTTTCAGACTTCAAGCTTAAACAAATAAACCAGCTCTTAAAAATCCTCTGTATTCCTGACATGACAGTGTCATTACCGTCCACGTGTGATCCAGCTAGGCATGAGCTGAACAAGCCACAGGAGGTTATGGTGATTACTGGAGAGTTCACTCACTGCCAGGCACAGCTCAGGCACCTTTAAAAGAACAACAAAACCTCCTGAAACTGAAGAATGGCTGTTTGCTTTATTTGCAAAGCAGCACACATCTACTCCCTAGAAAAACAGGCAACATAAGTGATAAAAGGAACCGATCTAACAAGAGGTGATGTGCATAAAAAAAATTCTGTGCTGCACCAGGAGGTGGGTGTGCTAAATACAATTTAAAATAGGGTAGCTGACATCAGAATATTCTTAATGACATCTTACCATAGTGAAATAACTTCTTCATTCTTTCAGACTAATCATTTTAACCATACAGCTATTTTACCACACATAATCTTAAGATCAATGAACTGTTGTGGAAGAGGACAGGCAACTCCACATCATGCAACAAAAACCCATTCATTATACCCTCTCACTTCCTAAATCTCACAAAAACACAAAACTTTGAATTTTTCATATTATTATACATACTATTATTGAAAATTCTATGTTACATTTTCAGCCAGCACTTTTCTGATATGTCAAAAAAGAAAACTTCAAAACATAAGTTGCGGTTTCACACATCTACAGATCTAGTACAATAAATTTATGAAGTTACCTTTGTATCCCAGTCTTTTATACTCGTCAGAAGCTTCACAAAAAGGCACTGAAAATCTATCGGAAAATGGTTTTTTAACTGTTTCTCCAAGCTTATTTTAAGTAGCAATATAAGCAGCAGCCATATTTCTTGGTCAGTATATCCGTCATTAATTACTGATGTACAGAAAACTAGAAACTTTAAAAGAAATACAAAGCATTAAAATATGGAAATGTTTTAGCATATTTTGAAGCATGATGAGAAATTAAGTTTTCCACACTCACATTAAAATGTACCTCAAATGATGTACTGTTTTGGCAACACTTGTTTAGCAACATATCCCATCCCACAGTAATAGCACCCTTTTTTTAATAAATCTGCTGGAGGTTCATTTATTTTCAGCAATGGCAATATTCCCCAAATACTACTGGAGCAGGAAAGGTTTTTCTTTACCACATATATAATCCTTCTTTAACTGAAGGAAAGGCCAAAAGATTTTCTAAATACTCCAGTAATACTGAAAATTGAAATCAGTTGATAGTTTCTTCTATGTGAGAGAGCCAAGATGTTCTATAAAGTGCCACAGCTGTAAAAGGGAGGCAGCAAAACTCTGCAATAAACTCTGCTGAATGTGAAGCTGAAGTCTCAGGATAGCACCTACTCAAACACCCACTCAGGACTAGATTGCAAACCCTGTCCTCCCTCCCAAAAGAAAATACACACACAAAAAAAGAAACCCAACCCACAAAAACCTTGGCATTTTCTCACCTTAATCACATTAATTAAATTGCTTTTAAGCAGAGTGGGGAATGCTGGACTGGCAAAGTCTACACATCCCCTTGGCCGTTGTTGACTCTCTGTTTCTTGCACCTGACTTCTAATAGAAAAAACACAATCTAAGCAAAAAATGAACAATTCAAAAGCCCACAAAGGCTTATTGACATCAAACTGAAGAGAAAAAAAAATCCTGCATTCATTAAAATGCCTTCAAATTAAAATAATCCTCAGTTACAGAGAATCTAACACACACATCTAACTCAACTTGCAGCCAATTACTGCCCAGCTATTCAGCCAATATTCCTGCAAACCTTCATTAGGAAGATGCAGGACAAAGAACAATGCTCTGGTTTGCTGAATCCTTACCTAGAAGGCATTATTTGAATTCCAGGGTTGTTTATTCTTACTAAAACCTGAGCCAAGAACTTGAGAGTATGGGAAAGGAAATAAAGATGAACCATCTGATTCTACATTCTAAGCACAAGACTTGCTTTCACAGGATCCAGGCAAAAAATATCAAAAGGAAAACACTTACAAAATATCATGTTCATTGAAGGAGGGTTGAAGATGTTGCAATGGAAAGAGAGATCTGAATCCAATACCCATATTGACAAAAACAGCTGATATATCAGCTATTGAAGGAATCCATGGTTTAAACTGTTTACCATTGATGGAAGCTACAAATAAAATACATGGAATAGATTAGTTTAAATTTAGTTCTTAGCATTAGTTCCTTTTAAGGGAAACAAATAAGCTTAGCGGTTTGCATCAATTCTAGCAGCTCTCATCTCAGAGTAGTCAGTACATTAAACTGTAAGCTTATTTTCAGAACAAGGAGGGAGGAAAAAATTCTAATATGGTATTTTACTCTAGGGAAACATCTTGCCTACATAACAGGTCAATTACTTTCAAATTCCACCCATTTTCTGTCATAGTTCTCTTTCATCACAAACAGCAGAACAAGCAACAAGGCTTAGACAAAAACAATATTTTTGTCTAAGAGATAAATTACTGCCTGTGTAGGTAAAGGCAAGAGGGTGTTATCACAGTGGGACTGGAAGAGAAGCTAAGTAAGATTTGAAACCAGGCAAGGTTACTGGAACAGAAGTGGTAAACAGGGAGCTCCTAGCCTTCATTAATTGTTTGAATGTTCATTTCATTATCTTGAGCTGTTCATTCAGAATCAAGCCTAATGCCAGCAAGGCACAAAATAAAGGAGGCTACATTCTCTCTGGCACCAGCTCTGATTTCAAACGAGAATTAAAATACAGGGTATAGTTTGGACAGGCCTGAGCAAATACTCCAAAAGAACCACATTAACAATATTAACTGGTAATCTTAATGTCACTTTTGATGGATCTGAATGAAGACATGGGAAGCATACAAAGGAACTTGTAGTGGAGAAATATTTGAGTACAGACAAAGGAAGAAGACAAAACACAGAAGACATTAGCAGCACTGTGGGCTGAAGCAGATCCTTCAGTGTTTCTGTGCAGGTGTATGATTCACTTCACTTTTGTCATTTATCTGAAAAGCAAATCATGAAGTGCTACATACTGGGTATGACAGGGGGGAAAACACCTTGTAATCCTTAAGCTACAAATGTCTGCATCATCCAAAGTAAAAGATGGAAAGGAAGGCAAACTTTTTAGCAGACTGAGCTTCTCTTCAGGTCAATTCTATTTGTGAAATACCAGGAGTGAGTTTAAAAGGCTCTGAACAGGATGCACTACTTTGGAGGTATGTGCTAGGACCACATACTGGGATATAGGCTGCACACACTCAGTGAAGGTCAGCCCACAGCATTTCTGCGTTACTTTAGTAAAAATAGAGCCTAAATTCAAGCCAAAATCACCCTACAAAACTAGAACCTTTTACTTCCTCACTAACATTTTTCTAAGCTGAAGATAGGAGAAGTGCTTTCATTCAGGTGGTCAGTTTTCCATCCTTCAAATACTTACAGTTTTTTAGTGTTAGCTCCATCAATCTCTCTAAGATCTTGGTGGAAACACAGTGGTCAATATGAATAGACATCATCTGTGAAGAGAGGAGAAGCTACACATTAAAAACCAAGCTGCATGACAGCATCAGTTTACTTTTAATTAGGGAAAAAAAACCCAAAAACACATCAAACCAGAACAAAAACAACACCAAACTTCCCAGCAGATTAAAATGAGTAACAGATTAAAATACAAACAAACAAAAAAATCTAATCCCAAAGCCTCTAAAGCAAGATACACCAATGAGAACAGAATACTGTGAATATTGATTATTTCAAGCAGTGCAAAGATGACATGAATACTTTAATTATTTACAGTATCAGAATGCTGTAACCCCATGTTGGTTTATAAACAAGTTTTGAAGTTTAAGAGAATAGAAAGTATCACGTACCCCTTTGGAACCCATTTGCATCTGTGATCAAACTGAGCTCCCTGAGCAGGAGTGGAGGCAACAGAGTTAACTACACTCTTTTCAAGTGACAGACAAATTGGATATATGCAATACTAAACCCAAATGAATTATTAGTTTTTCACATAACTCTTAACTACAAAAACATGATTATGAAGTACAGTTCAGGTTTCTTGGAGCACTTCACTGCCTCAACAAGAACTACTTTTTCTCCCCCAAGTGCTGGACAGTTTCCTGCTCTGTAAGCGATCACAATTGTGAGTGTGAGCTCAGTGAAGGCTCACACTTCTTCCTTATTAGAGGAACACCAGAGCTCACAGAAAGGTGGAAGGCAATTTTTTTACTGGCTGGAGGGAAGGACATGAAAGAGCACTTGCTTTTGGCAAATGTAGGAAGCCAATCAACAGACTGAAGCTACAATTTCCCAGGTGGTCCAGATTTTTTTTGTTTCAGATGCAGTTAGAATGTGGCAATTAATAACAGAATGGAGACTGGAGGGGGGCATTTTCATGAGAAACAGCACTGTGTAAATTCCTGGTGATCCAGACACTGACACATATTTTGAAAAGAGAGTCACCACACTTTGAGAATTACTCCAGACTTCTTCCTGAGCCATAAGGTACCTTTTCCAAATGAAAATTATCTGATAATGCTAGTATCACTGATGATTTAGAAGATGATATATGTAGAAAATGGTACTTTTGCATACTGCAGCATGCATTGTTTTTCTAAGGGTGAAAGAAAATAAGATTATCATTTGCTCATGGTTTGGCCCACAGCACCTTTCCTCATCTACTGTGTCCTTTTTCAATGCAGTAGCATATATGAATAGGGACATGCAGCTTTGCATTCACTCAGAGTGTGGAGAAAAGGCACTCCATTGTTTTACCCCTAGTGACAATCAAAGTATTTCAGACTGGAGAACAAATCAGAACCCAGGAGTTAAAAATAAGATCTGATTTAAAAGTTGGTAATGGAACATATTCAGACTTCAACTGGCTTCCAGGAAAAATATTATACACGCACAGAGTTATTATATCTGCATGAATAGCAGAGGCTTACCTGGAAAAGCCACTTTAGAATTGGCATGGAACACAATGTATTGTGGTAAGCAGAGCTTAGAACACCATTAACAACTAATAAAACTTGCTGCCTTATACCACAACTGTAAGAGAAAAATGGGGGCAAGGAAAGAGGGTAAAAATCAATTAATGGTTGCATCATAACTTTCACAAAAAAACATAAGAACTTCCTCACCCCTCAGATCATCATCAATAGCAAAGAAAGATCTGAATATGCAAAACAGATGTTATTCTCATGCTACTACTTATATAAAATGTCATCATAATCAAACCTTGATTTTTAATAGCAATCAGATTTACAAATGTCATTTAGAACAACTATCTTTCTATAAAGCTCTACTACACAGTCTGGAAACATATGGATTATGTAGGAATAATAATTTCAAACAAACATTGATTTACACTATTGTACTATGAACCAATGTGCCTGACTACACATACAGCCTGCTATGCTAATGAGACTATTAAATAAGATTTTTAACTATCCAATGACCTTTACCAACACTTTCAGACTAAGAGAGTAAAAACATTGTTTTCAAACTTTTTAAAATTCCCTTTAAAATAAAGGTTCTGGAGGCAAACTAATGCAATTAAAATCCCACAGCCTATCTCACTGTGCAAATTTGTGGGGTGCAAACAGTAGCTGTTGGAAGAACAGAAAGTGTGCCATTGCTGTTACTGAATTATTGTAGCTTTAGTCACCAGGATGAGCTCAGTTGGTCAAAACAGGCTGCTGAAAACACCAACTTCATGGGTTCAAACTTTGTATGGACCACTCACTTAAGAGTTGGACTTGATCCTTGTGGGTTCATTCCAACTCAGGATATTTTATGATTATTCTTTAGAAAGTTAGGGATATCATAAGCAGCTGAATTAAAGATATCCCATTTCCCACATACCCTTCTTCAGTCTCCTCTCTATCCTCTAGATCAGGTAACTCTGGCAAGAGATCTGTGTCCTAACTCTTACATGTACCCTCTACCTGCCTGACTGGTAAGGCCTCCATGTGCCAACTGGGCACCTGGTACGTGCCAGCTGTGCCAACTGGGCTGAATGCATAAGCAATTAAATTGTAATTGCCTTCTGCAAGGGATGATCAGTTTAATTCTCATTCCTCCAGTCACTGATTTACAAGATGCTTTTGAAGTTCATACCCTTGTGATCTCCAAAACATAGTAATAGAAAGGCTTGAAGCCAAAGGAGCGTATCACAAACATCACTTCCTCAAGAGATGAAAAGTCACTCTCCTCCTCTTCACACCCACAACTGCACATACACATGCATATAAAATCCTTTGAGAGTAACTGAACTCTCTCAGTTCCTCTTATGGATGTTTGGAATAAAATACCAAATGAAATAACCAGAAATTTTCAGGATTTACGCTTGTGGCATTAGGCAAATATTTGTCCAGCTATTAGTAGTGCAACAGCCTTGTAAATATAGAGCAGAAATGCCTCTGGGTTACAGAGCAGTTGTTTATGTACACACACACACGCTGGTGGCTCAGTGACTGAATCTAACAGATGTCAGAGATCCTGACCCTCTGCAATCCTCATCAGATGGAGCCTCAAGTGCCAGACCCACCCAGGAGGAAGCACCAAAAGGCTGTCAGCAGACATAATGTAACACTAGAAGGTCACAAATAGTTAACCACAAAGGTCTTTCAGTCTGAAGATAGTTAAGCTTGTGTTCATTGTAATGTTTCACTTCTACATTTGACTTCCACAAACTGGTAAGGTTATCAACGATAGCCCCATGTGGTAGAAATATGGAAGAGGCCAGAACAGCTGGTTTTCCTAATGTCTCATTTAAAAAGTTTTTCAAGAATTCCAGAGGAGGAAAGAAGGAAGCTTCAAATTACAATTTACTGTCCTGTAATGTTAACTCAGAAAGGAAAATTCCAGGGAAAGAGAGTCAGTCTTGCCTATTTACTAAGACAGAATCCATTTGCATGCAAAGATTAAATAGTACCTTAAAATTGTTAAAAATGAAAAGAAAATTGTACAAATAAACACAACAAAGTGAAGAGTATATTCTTACCTAAGAAGCAAATATTCTATACGATTTTGAGGGACAAAGTGAAAATTCCTCAAGTCAAGGTTATGTTGAGTGAAGATTTTCCCAGCAGCTGATAAATCAAATAAATCTTCTCCAGGATGTTTGTCAGGTATGACATAAGTTACTACTGAAAATCTCTTTATAAATGCCCTGTAAAATTCAAAACAGCTTTTATCAATTCAAACACTGAGAAGCTATTAGCTGCTTGAGAATGTAATTTGCAGGTGATGAACACATCAGTCTTATGTGAAAGCTGAATTGTTAGAATACAGTTGCACCCAAGGAAATCCATCCAACCCCAAAAGATTTTAACATGGTTCTCATTAACATTAATACTAACTCATTAATACTAACAATTGTTGGAAACAGAGAGAGGTTGGGGGTGGGGATGGAAAAAAGGCTAAAAAAGCAAAGATCAAGATTTAATTAGTTGTGGAGTTGCAAGGACCTGTGTTCTTCTGAGAGATCGTGTCCACTGGCATTGTCCTCATTTTCTCCACCTGAAGCATTGTCATCTCTTTCTATATCTTCCTGTAACTGTTTCTCTATTTCCTCTAACCTGAAAGAACAGCAGCAGCAGAGCATTATCATCACCATTTAATATTTACAACAAAATCAACAAAATGCAAGCTCTGAATGTGAATCCTGGAGTCAGGAGCCAGTTACACATGGTAAAACCATGTGGTCATTGCATCTGTGTAAAACCCAAGGCAAAGTGAATGGTTCCCAAAACCTAATCAATTTCCAACAGCACAATCAATCACTGGTTTGTCAGACACAAATGCTCAACCAACCTCCAATAAAGTTTTTGTAATTGCACAAAACTCACCATCTTGTGGATGAATGTTTACTTTTTTCTAATCACCAAACAAGCATTTTATTTGTTAAACATCAATAGTTACAGGGGTATCTGCTACTCCATGGCAATCAGCCCATAGCTACCAGGGTCAAATTCTTTAATCAAAACAGTTAATCACATAAGCAGTTAAACACATATACCCATCACCACCACTTGTTATTAACACATAAACCAATTTCACTTCCTACCCAAAAGATCTCTTGTAAGAATACTCACTAGTTCTGTTCACTGATCTGTGTAACTACTCAGACAACAATAGCCTGCAAAATTTCAGCAACCAATATTGAGCTAAAAAATGCCTTTAAAAAAAACTACTATAGTCAGTCTATATAAATATTTCTATTTCATGCCTGACCAGCAGCTGCTAGCTGGCTCGCTGACCTAAAACAAAGGCAACAGTAAATTTAGCCTGGCTCTTCAGGGGTAAACAGATGTATCACAAATCATTCCTTGTTGCTTGGAAGGAGCCTGTCATTCAGCTTTTACCATTTAAGCAACACTTGTAGGTCCTGTCAGTTCAGTTGTATGTTGGTAGCATCAGCAGGCAAAGCTTAGCTTGCTGCTAATCAAACTCCATCAGTTCGGGGGAGACAAGGCAAATCCAAGCTTCTACAACACCATCCCACATTTTTCAAACCAGCTTTAAGAAACAAACCTTCTAGATTCTTCTTTCTCCTTCAAGAGATGATCTAAGCTGTTCACATATGACACCTTGCTTAAAATAGGAGTCTTAGAAAGCTGTAAATGAAACAGTAAGACATTTAAAAAACACCATAAGCCATTAATTCATTATTAGACAATAATCAAAATAGAAACCTCTTCCAATTTTAATGATATTTTACATGCAGACATAAACCTAAAGGAGACCCTACAAAACAGAAAGATTATCCATTTAGGTTTCTCAGTCCCTTGACAATTTTACATAATGATCAAATCTCTCTGTGACTAATTTAGAAATAACTGCTTCACAGTGGATCTGAGCAGTGAAGCAAGTCTCTGCATGTCTGTGGCTGACCTTCGCAAAGAGCATTACCATCAGAAGCTTCTAACCTCACAACTTTACTATTATGATCATCCACTGAGACCCCAGGGATCCCCATTCTTGTGCATGAGACAAAGAACCTCCAAAAATTACTCATTTTATTTTTACTTTCAGAGTCCCTAGAGGGCAAAATTCCAGTGTTTGCTAGATCACCTCTAAATTAATCAAACAAAACAAAATTTCCAATCAAAATCCTGATACAAAACCAAATTAAGGAGCTAATAAACAGAACAACACAAAATTTTAACAAATTTTGCTATTGGCTTGTTTTTTCAGTAGCCAGTCTTTTATTCATCTTGTAGCATACAACAGATTTGAAATATTTTATGGCCATGATTGCATTCTTTGGACAAGCACAGCTCTTCTGACACCACCCTGATATACAGTCACCTTTTAAATGTAACAAGCAGCATGTCTTTGTGTGGGATATCGTATAGGAAAGCTGAACACTTCTCAGGTTATTTTATATTTGGTTAATATCTGTCAAGTAACTGTTGAAGAACTGAGAAATCAAAACTTTATTTCAATGTACACACATGCCCTTTCTTACAAAAGAAGACTGTGGGTATATGTAAAAACCACAAAGTGTGGGACAGCTCTTAACTGTTTTGTCTTATTTGGCCATTAATTAAATCACAAACAGGCCAGCCAGATGTTGTGGTCACACACATGTCCCACAAGCATTTGATCTAGGCTGTGTGTGTTTATCAGGTTTAACCATTAATCAGGTAGTCATGTTGGCCAAGATTGTGAAATACATATGAAACCATACAAGTCTGATCTATAACACTCTTGATTACAGAATCATAAGAACAGATTAAATAATTACAGCTGCTCAACATCTGCCCATGGAGATAGTAACTCAGTCAACACATAAACCCTATCAGAGATTGAAAAGCATGAGGAAAGGGGAGGCAGAAGAGAGAATTTACACAGGTATGCTGCTGTTCGTTTTCCACTCCAGAAACTAGTGATGGGCTGACCCCAGGCAGCAGCTAAGCACCACACAGCTTGATCATTTCTCCAGACAGTGGTCCAGGGCAGTGAAAAGAAAAGCAAGAAAAGCAAAGACAAGAGAAATCGTGCCTTAAGATAACAACAGTTTAATAAAGGAAAGGCATAAGAGAGAAAAGAAAAAGCAATTCAAAAGGCAGCCACTCAACACCTCTGACAAGCAGAAGGATGCCCAGCTACACTCTGAGCAATGGCTACAAGCCAGACTAATTCCCCCCACTTGGTTTTTTGATTCCTGAGCCTGACATTATGTGGCATGGAATATATCCCTTTGGTCATCCAGGGTCTGCTTTCCAGGCTCTGTTCCCTCCCAGCTTTTTGTCTGCTCTAGGGGGGCAGCATGGGAAGAAGACAAAGCCTTGATGCTGTGCAAGTACTGCTCCACAACAGGTAGAAGACTGGTCTATTATCAACACTGGATTTGCCTGAAACACATGGCACCATACAGCTGTTATTAAGAAAATTAATTCCAACCCAGCCAGGCTCAGCACAAAAATCTTTGTTTAAATAATACAGCCATTTTCAACCTGCACTGTCAGGAATGCCACACTAAGACCTGCTGCAGGTAGGTCCCTTCCCTATTAAAACATTATTTTACAATAAAACTTCAAAATCACTACCTATTTGACAAGTTCTTATTGAACAAATGAACTAATTTTTAAAAACACAGACCAATTCATCACCATAATATCCTATACACAGGGATTCAAAGATGTCATCTATCCCTTGTGATCAGAATTCATTCCACTTTTTAAAATCCTAAAATACTTCCAATTTCCATGAAGTACAACCTCAAAGAAAACACCACACTTAGTCATACACAGATCTCTGACAATCACAGACTGCACCAAGGATATATGACTGGAGCCTAGCACACAGATCTCTGAATGTACATCTACATCAATTTCCTCCTTCCTTCGACTCATGAAAATCTTACCTGACTAGGAAAACAAAAACATTAGACTGCACACATCTCCTAAAAATAACCTCCCAACTTTAGGGGGGGGAACCCCAGAACTCCTAGAAACAACCAGAAGGGATAGAGCTAAATCAATCTGGCAGTATAAACCATCCTTCTCAGACATTCCCAGGACAAGCACAGTTAACAAGCGCATCCCTGCTCCACCTACACTGTAACTGTACAGCAGCACAGGACCCTTAAGCCAAGTAAGCAGAGCAGCTTGTTATTTAAAACTGAGCTAAACAGCAGAAATTAGATCACTAGCACAACTGAACAAGTTGCTGTCTGTATGTGTCAGATGGAACAGGTAAGGTTGGAGGCAGTTTGATTTTTGAGTATGAAATATCTCCATTCAGCTGGGCCTCTGACTGTGTTTTGGGGGTATACAGCTACTACATAAAATTTCATTCTCCTAAAATTTGAAATATGGGGTAATAACTTAGCACCTATTGGGCCTTGTACTGTGCTAAAATCTACATTATTTTTCTTGCAAATAACATCCATAAAAGAATACTTGAAAGAATGTAATTTTTTTGTTTTTAGCCAACTTACATGAAGCTTCAGTAATGGAGTTACAGTGTCTTGAGAAACACTGTCAAAAGAGTCTTCCAGAGTTCTTGACTCTGGCTTGAGACTTGAACTGAGAATTTTTTGCAGCGGCATTAAAATTTCTTCTTCTTCATCATCATCATCATCATCATCATCTAGGATGGATTCCAAAATGTCATCTTCACTCTCAGAGCTGCTTTGCCATTTTCTGTTCAGCTTGGACTTGTGTGTAAAGTTCCTTTTAACTTCTAGTTCTCCTGAGGTTTGTGAAGACTCATCATCACTGTCCGTGAAAGACTCTGTCAAAAGCACTGAAGGGGGAACACCTTTACCGGTCTCTGGGGACAGTCCAAACGTCCCAGGGATTTCCACTCTACCAGAATCAGGAGTATTTTCAGAAATCTCATTAATTGTATTTGAAAAACTGTTGCTGGGTTGAATACTGTATCCTTTATTCCATTCATGTTTTTCTGGTCTTTTATCTTGCTCTTTCTTAGCATCCAATACCTGAGATAAGCCAGCAAACTGGAGAGGGGATTTCACGCCTTTTGTTTGTGTTAAATGCTGGGGAGAAGGCAAGACAGTACTTTTTTCCTGAGAAAAAGAAAGGGACTTTTCCAAGAAAAAGCATGAGTTAGCCAGCTGCAATTGATTCTCTTTGGTATCCACAACAGAAATGTGGTTATTTTTAGCAGGAATGTGTGCAGAATATGAAGATGACAAACCTACAGAAGAGTAATTATTTTTCTCCTTTTCATTGCTTGAGTTGAGGAATTCCTCTGAAAAAGTCAAATCATGTCTAGACAGGGCAGCAGGCTCTTTGAGCTGAAGAACATCATCATGAGGAGACTTTAAAAAGATATTTTTTACAAAGTCACACCTCCTATATTTGCATTTTGAAGATGATCTACTAAAAGCAGGGTCATTCACTTCAGATTGATCTGAACTATCTACATCCACACCCATGGCAGTGTGTTTTCTTTTCCCAGGAGAGTCTCTTGATTTGGATAGCCCAAAGGACACCTTGAGGAAGTGTGAAGGAACAGCTGAGCTCTTTGGTGCACCAGAGGCCATCTCAGATGATGTTCTAAATGCATGTGGAGTAGATGCCTCATGTTCCAAAACCTGTGTTAACCTTGGTTGAGATGGGTCATCTGTGAAGTGTTGGAGAAAAAAATAAAACACTGTTATCACTTCTAAAAAAGTCAAAATAGTAACAATCTTAGTTTTAAAAATCAAACATGTAACAGCTTTACATTTAAAAAACTAACTCCTGTTTTTTAAGTCAACTAGAACTAGAGCAGCAAAGAGTCTGATGGGTTTCCACAGCCATAGACATCCTTTCTTTTCTTTTTAAATTTTCATCTCTCTATTGACCTACCTCAAGCTTTTTAGATTCCATTCTACCACCCATAGAACAAAATTATGTGGTTAAAAAGGTCAAAAAGCAACAAAAATACCAGCTCAACTTTAGTGGTTGCTTCAACAAGAAAATTCTTCCTGAATTAAACTGAAAGGCACAATTTATTAACCACCACAGAAAATGTGGATTATCCAAAGCGCAAGAGAAACCATAAAAATAATCTGGGATCAAGATTTTAAGAAATGAAATATCACAAATTTTAATTAAGTTATAATTAATGTGTTTTACACTAAAATCATAAGTTACTTTAAAAACTCTTCAAATTTGCCAAATATTAGAAATACCATTGACTATTCAGCAGCAAATATTGTTTTAGTAAAAGAAAATTTAAAAAAATTCAAGGGAAAAAAGCCATTAAAAAGAGACACAAAGTAATGAATTTGACTGATTCATTAATTCTATAATAACAGCAATGCTCTTACCTGAGGCAATCTCCCTTGAACCAAAAGGCATTTTTCTTATAGGACATCCATTTCCCTAAAAATAAAGACAGAGGGAGTAAAAAAAGTTAATTGTATACTTTTTAAAAACAGTGTTGAATCCAGCACAGACTTAGTTTGACACACCCCCAGAAATATGTTAATAGACCTCATTTCAAGAAAAATTTAAAACACAGCTGCAAAGATCTCTCCAGAACCCAAATCATAATTTTTTTCTTCAGATTAAAAGCAACCTGTAATTAAATACTATATTTTTAATAGGACCACTCCCATCTCTATTGAAATACTGTGTCTTAAATGCATATATCTGAACTGCTATTAACTACAACTTCTAAATAGCAGAAATTTGCCAGTCTGCTCCCTAAGCCACATTGTAAAACACTAGATTATAAGGCATTTAAGATAAAGGCATCTTTTTCTACAAAACACAATTTCAAGTTACAATTTCTATTGCATTTCTATGCTTGCATCTAGCCCAGAATATCTCCCTTACTTTTAAAACAGGATTTTTCACTGATTGTAAAATGATGAAGAACCAGATTGCAAAATTAATAAGAACCAGCTTACCCAAGCATGACTTAAAACTTCCAAAGGAATAGCAAAAGAACATAAACTTCTGTTATGCTTGATGGGTCAGTGATTTGCACCTTTAAAAACTCTCTTAAAAACACCTGATGCAAAACATTTGTTCCTTAGAATGGCTTTACAGAATGCGGCTAAGATTGTTTCAATTTCTGCTTCTCCCATTCCCTTTCTCTGCAGAGAGCTTCCAGTGACAACGTAATGCAGAATCAGTAGGAGAGCAGGGCAGGGGGGAAATCTGGCTTGAGCACAGAGATGTGACGCTCACAGTGCCATTATTTCCAGCCCAGGCTTTTCAAATATCAGCTTCTGGAGGCAAAACCCATTTGTCAGAGTCTGAGCTGGAGTCTGTGAGGTCCATACAGTCATTCTTCTCTTCTCAACTATTTCCATAAGACAATGGTGCTCTCCTTACACCCAGACACTTGTCATTTCTTCCCTGCTCTGGCTAGGCAGTCTTTTCCTTTTTGGTCAAGGAACACATGTGAGACACTGCAGCAACGAAGAGTTTCTGAATCACAACTCTGGGGTACAGCGAACCCAGGGGCCTGCACACTCTGCCATTCTCTGACATGTTTACACTGTCCTTTTCCTCAATTCTTTTCCAAAAGACACCTACCACAGGACTTATTTGGTGTTTGGTCTGGCATCTTTCTCTTCTGACCTTCTTTGGGGAAGATGAATTCTTTTCAAAACCTTCAGTGCGTAAAACTGACAGTCCCATTCCTTCATCTTTTACATTTCCTTTGTCTGGTGAGGACAGCACAATTCTGTCTTTATGGCCATGGTCTAGGAGAGAAAAGACTAATTATTCACAAAAATTATACCGGAAGAAAAAAAAATACAAAACAAACCTCATTATAGTGTATTACTTGGTATTTTCTCTCTCTACCACATGTAATCCAAAATTAATTAACTTAACCATCCAGTTTTGCTACTGCTATGCAAAGAATCATATGACCTATGATGCAGCTTCAGTTGTTATAAACAATCTGGCTTAAGCATGTGGCATAACTTGAAATAATAGTTACATCACTATTTAAAGAAATGAAACAGGAAATTGATATTTTCATTTACATTATTAGAAAAAATTTAAATGTGCTCATTTTGATATATTTGTTATACTCATTATGTTGCTGCTCCAATATGGAATGAGATTGGACAACCATTCTGCACACTTACACAATTAAAATTCATATAAATGTCTTCCACTTAAAAAAAACCAAACATATTTACCTTGACTTAAAACTGGTTTGAAGAAATCCGTAATCATCTGGTTTCTAAAGAGAAAACATAACTTTATCATTTTAAAAGAACAACACCTAAATGCCCATTTGGTGACTGTTATATAATTAAAATACTGTAAATTATTTCTACAGATTTTCTTTAATGCCAGCAGCTCTTATTTCTGATAAATCAGAAAAAACATCATCCTCTTCACCTTCTAGCCTTCACTCTGCTTGTTAACCTGACAATTTCCTCACTCAAACTGTTTCCTTTATAATCCCTGTAAATCTTAAGCACCGTTTCACCTTAAACTACATTTTCCTGAATGGGACTGACCTCACCTGCATCCAGTATTCTAGGTGTGAGCAGCACATTATGTGATGACATTAACAACCTCCCCATGTCCACTATTACTCTGAGCTGCTAACTCAAGTTAGCATCTCACCTGGCTTCCAACAGAGACAGCAGCCTATAGCCACCTACAAGATAATTATTACCTTTAAATTAGAAGTTTTTTTCTCTGGCAAGAACAACTGGGACTTGAGAACACCAAGGCTTTCTCCACTGAAGAATATCACTTTGAAAAATGGGAAGATTTCCAACCTTGAAAATGGCTGAACAACGAGCAATTTGAACAAAATACATCAGAATCTGTGAACTTGGTATCTTCATCTTCTTCCACAGTTTGCTAATGACTTTAAGGATATACAGAGTTTTTGGAAGTGTCTCAAAGTTCAAACAAAGTATTGATGTGAGAACAGCACATCAGAAAGTACAGAAATACAGAAAGTATTGATGTTGCAGGAACAGCAGAGGTTGGTTCCACATTTTGCTGTCTTTCTGTACCTTCTTACATTGTTACTGCCTGAGCAACAGTGATAACCAAGGCAAAACCTACTAACTCCGGAATCTAAGGTAATATATTCAAGTATCCATAAATGACTGTGTCCTCACAGACTCATAACCATTTTTGAATGGCCCAGAATGAATGAGACCAGAGGAACCCACAGCTCACAAATTAATTTGGATTTAATCTTGTATCTCTCTAAGCTTTTAACCATCACTTTTGCATTTTCTAACATGGCTTTTGTGTTTTTAGCACGTACAGAAATACAAAGAGCTGTTTATAACGCACTGATACTTCTTAAATCAGGATACCCACAAGCACTGATATTTGAAGATACTGTAACTCAGTGAAAATTCATCTGTAATCAGAATCTGTGAGTGCACAAAACTAGGTTTAGTGTACCAAAGAAAGCAGAGAAACTACTTGTCAAAGACTGGCTGCCTCCAGCTTGTCCCAGCTCACTTTGACATAGGCCAAAATACGTGTGCTCTTCCCTCATGCTACATCAATTTATGTGTTAAATTTTTGACACTAGGATCTCAATTCCATTAGACAGGTTTACTGGCACAAATCAGTTACCTGGTGTTAGCTTAAGCTGGTGCCTCAAAAAAGGAACCACAAACAGAAATCCCTGGGCAACCTGAACTACTCAGCAGTCCAGGCCAATAGTGATTTTAGGGTCTGGGATCCTGTCAGTCTTCATTGGTTCACTGTTCTGCTACCCAGTGGTGCTCTGTGGTCATATTCACACCCTCTTAGGCTGTTTCAGGGGGAATTTCAGTTGGTTCTGTAGTCCATATTGTAATATGGTTGTTAATGTTCACATACCACGATTTATGGGCTGTCCACTCCAGCTATTAATTTTAAAGTAATATTTAAGCCATTAACATTGTCTAGTCTAACAGCTGTTAATGTTCAGGTTGTTAGCCCCACGTTTTGCTATAATCCATCTTTGACTTACTCAACAGAGCCTTGTAGTTCAAGTGAAGTTCAACTTGAGGCCTAACAACTCTCGCTGCTTACATCGCTTAGCTACTTTCAAATAAGAGAAAAATTTCAGCACACAGGATCCCCATATTTCAGCTCAACAGAAGAACCAAAGACTTAAATGCAGGTTTATTCACTGTTATTGCTGCTGATGGATTTGTTTTTCTGCCCTAGACCTCCTTGCATTCCACACTGGCCTCACCTGCTCACAGCAAAGCCCTCTCCACCTCGCATTCCTCAGGACACACCCGCTGCTTGCTTGGAGCGCTCTCAAGCTGCAAAACCATCCGGTGCTTACAGCTTTCCACACTGTGTATCCTTCCAAACCCCTCCTAACTAAATTTTCCTAAGTGACTGTACTTCTTTCTTCCCCATTAAAGCCCCATACTGCACATGAAGCACTGCTGGCAGGCCACATCTCCTCTTCAGTTACCACCCAGATTCCCCTCTGCACTTAAATCTTGAAGACAAACTGTGAGGGACAGAAATGTTAAAGGTCACTGATTCAAACAAACAACATTGCTGAGGCCCAGGCTTGCACCCCGCAATGGAAGGGGGAAGAAGAGGGGGGTTTGTGTGCTGTGTTGAAACCTCTGATCTGCCTAAGACAGGAGAGGCTGTACACCCAGCACAGGAGGATGGCGGTGACAAAACAAGCTGGGGCTTGAGCCAGATAAGGTGAATAAGGCATAGACCCTGTGTAGGTGGGAAAATGCTTTTTATCACATCAATGTCCTCCCTTACACACATGGCTCAGGTGTCAAACAACACCTCCCCACCCACGGGGAGGTATTGGGATTTTCACACCTAGGCCTGAAGGTACTTATCCCTCCTAATAAGACATAATAGGAGAAACACCAGTCTAAGATAGGGTCATAAACCATCAAAGACCCCTGAAGTGCCCCCAGACTCATTTCTGGGGCCTTGCAACAGACTGTTAATTCATCCTCTCCAAGGGAGGTACCTGGGCATTCCCACCCGAATGTCTATTAACCCACTGAACTCTGTTTTGGGGACTTCCTCCATCCCTGACTGATCAAGACAGCAAGCGTCACTTTGAGCAGCAGACATCAGAATTGCAACGATATCTCTCCACAGTCTACTCTTATCCTTGCTTTTTCTTTCTTTTCCTTATGTATTTTCTTAAGTGGTATTTTCATACTTTTATATTATCACATTAGTAGAGATAATAACCATAATGGCTACATACCTCGTTTCCATTGCAACCAAATTATTCTAAAATAAACCCTATACATGTATATACATATAAACACCACATATTCAGTGTTCTTTCTCTCTAATCTGCCCCAAGGGTCCTATTAACAAGAACCTCAGTTACTCTGACCTCTGAGGGCACCTTGTAACAAAACCAAAACCAAGGCCTTATGCCACCTCTGTCCTTGTTTCCATAGCCACTGATTTCAAATGACTGCTTATGTCCTTCCCATGTTGCTCTATTTTTTGTCGTCTTTTATTATAAATACAAGAGCTTTGTAACAAAACTTCTGCTTATTCCATAATTATACAAAGCCTTGTAACAAATAACAGGGAATGAAGGCACTTCCCTTCTCCCTCAAGTTTAATTTGAATGAAGAGATGGTGAGTGATTTGTCTTAGACTACTTGTTTGAAGGTGCTTATCCACCAATGCATTTGTAACCCTGCTTTTTGGAGTGCAAGGGTGAGGAATTGTTCAGCCAAGATTCTGTATAAGGTCTCAGACAAGGAAGTGTACTAGGAACTTCAGACAAAAGCAAAGGGTGAGGGAAAGAAAAAAAGAAAGAATGTAATACAGTACAAGGAAGAAAGTGAAAAATAACTGGGCCATCCAAACAGCTTTTCACAAAAATGTGAAAGTAAAAAGAGAAATGTGATTTTCTATGTGAATGGGGCCAAAACTGTTCACAAACCTTTCACAGGAGAATCTCCACCCTTTAGTAGGAGGTTACTGTGTTTCACTCTTGCTAACATGACACTCACAGTTGTTCAATGTATCTTTCTCAACTATACAGCCCTAGTCAACACTTTTCAGCAATATATATAAATTCAACAAGACTTTTTATCCCAAATAAAAACTACCACACCATACTTTGTGAAATCTCAGCTCAACTGAAACAACAAGGAGACCACTAAAAATCAAAAAAAAAATGCAAAACCCATAAATACACATGATCTCACACAACAAAAGAAAAAGGCTGCATGGCCAGGAGATGAACCTAACAGACCTTCCAGGTCTTTCAAAACTAAGGACACAGCCTGCAGGGAAGAGGGAAGGAGGAAATACTTTCACTTGCCTTAAAAAATAACCCCCTGAGCATTTGGTAAAAGCAGTCAGTGTTTACAGCCAGGTTCCTGGTTGTGTCTGGCTGGCTAAAAACTATCCTTTTAAAAAGCTGTATTAGAATACACTAGCAATAGCTCCAAGATAGCAAATTCACTTAACACAGGAATAAGCTACAAAAAGTTACTATATCTTTGATGACACAGAGTATCTTGAAAAGCTCCGCAGGAAAATAAAAACAAAATAGGAAAACAAAACCAGCCAGACCAGAAACTTACATAGAAAAATTCAACTGCAACAAAACCGAAATTACAAAGTTTCGTTTCACTTTCTTGGGCAAAAAGTAAGATTGAAAAAGTTAGCTATTTTTACCCTATCCCCTTCATTTAAATGACAGTGCTATCAAAACAGAGGATCTGAACAAATTAAGGTGTTACTAATAGCATACGAAAATTATGACTTGTCTCATTCAGCAAGAAACAACTCGGCAGCCTCTGAAAAACCTCAAGTCTTTGGCAGAATTAGAATTTCTAGCCAGCAGACAAGTTTGTCAAGTCAGAAAACGCTGCCAGTGACGGTCAGTGTTTGCACTGGGCAGCGTCCTGCAGCACCGTTAGCCGCCGGTCCCGGCCGGAGCAGCTTGGGAAGCTGAACCGACACCCCAAGCTCTCGGTTAGAACCGAACCGCTGGAGCCGCTCAGCTCCGCAGGTGGGCTGGGTAACGCCAGGAGCTGCGAGGGCACACGTGGGACAGCCCCGGGATTTTGAAGGATGTGCTGGAAATGCCAGCCAGAACTTAGCTGGACACTCCCTTCAGACTCCTGGGTGCTGCCAGAGCCCTCGGCCAACGAACAGCGGCTCCATGTGCCGGTTCCGATGAGGAGGCCCCCGCCGGGTCCCTTGGCGGCTGGAACACCGGGGCAGGCTCCCGGGGAGGTCCCGGTAACCCGCGCCGAGCCGACCCCTGCCACCCGCCCTGGGCACCGCGGCGCACGCCGGCAGCCGGGCATCCCGCTAGGCGGGCCCGGTGCCCGGCGACGACCGCGACCGCTCCTCTCCCGCGTCCCGCCGGTACCTGCACTCCTGGGCCGCCTCTCTGCCCGCGGCCGCCGGCGTAACATGGCGGCGGGACATGGCGAAGGGAGGGACCGGAGACGGCAGCCCCTCGCCGAGCGGTCGGGTCATGGCAAAAGCGGCCCAGCGGGGCCCGAGCGGCCAAGGGGAGCGGCCGCCCCCGGCAGCATCGCCAGGACCGCGGCTCGAACGCCCCACACGGCCGGAACGCCCAGCACCGCCGCAGGTCACGGGCGGGAGCTAACGGGCTCCGCTCTTC